ATTTTTCAGTATCTTTGATTCTATATTTTTTTTTACTGGGAATTTAAAAAATTATTTTAGGTGATGCTGTTGACTTCAGCAAAATGCAGTTTTGTCACTTGTTTACTGTTGCTAATAGTGTTGGTTTAGTGCCCTTGTAGTATTGTAGTGCATCTACACAATGCTTCTAATAAGCCTTCAGTAATACACTCAGTTTATGTTAGGTTCAGCCATAACTTCTGATCAGAGTCCCCATAGCCCTGTACTACTGGGAAAAGAGTTGCTAATGCTTCTCTTCCATAAACAGTTGTGAAAAAGTACTTTGATACTTAAAAGACTACACTTCTGGTAACTGTCAAGCCAAAGTTGTTACTCTTTGTTTGGTTTTGTTTGGTTTGTTTGGTTTTGGGGTCTTTTTGTGTTGCATTTTTTTTTTTTTTTTTTTTTTTTTTTTTTTTTTTTTTTTACCTTGGGTATAATAAAATGTGGCAAATGTTTGGCATATTTAAAGCCCTATTTGGAATGTGAGGAAATTAGTTGGCAAGGACTTCTCAACAGTGTATTTCTGATTAGCCTGGAAGGATAGTATGACTGTAATGACTTCCTGAAATTACATAGCTACTTAATATAACTTGTGATAGCATTAAGCTTTATAGTAGTCTGTTATGGGGGAGAAAAAAAAAAAAATCTGAAGTCCTGCTATGTAAATCCACTTTGTATAGTGAGGGATTTTGAGTTAACTATGACTGTTAAAGAATGGAACTAGGAGATCAAATTACTAAGCTAGGGGCTTTTTATTTCTCTTTGTACAATTGATTTTGTAAATGGTAGAAGACACAAAGTACATAAAATAACTGTACTGAGTTACAGAAATTAACTGAAATACTGAAGTGGTATTGTCAATTTACAATGTATAAAATAGTTTGTGTATATATAATCTTAAAGTTTCTTTTGAGTATGCATTCAAAGTCTGAGTTGGTTTCTTTTTCTGAAAGTGATACTACATGTCAGTTTTATGTAATTCCATTGGTTGAAGCCATACATTAATATGATGTTTTCACACCATGGATGGAAATGCTCTCATGTGTGCAAGGGTATGATAGTGTGGACTTCATTGAAAGGACAGTATTGATTCTGCAAAAAATTAAGGTTTGCTCACTGCAGAAATTAGTTTGGCAATTCCCTTGTTTATTTTGTGTAATAGTATTTTGGCAGATGTGGGTTTAATGAAGAAATATTCTAGATAACTTTGATCTGAATAGTTAGTGTTTTAGCTTTTACCGAGAATTAGTAGAGATTAATGTTCTTGGCACTGGTAGGAATAGAAGTATGGCAGTGAAAACTTGTGCTGTTGAGGACTAGCTGTTAGAAGATGACCTATTAATAGTATAATAGGAGTTTGTACTTACTATTTTGTCCTTTATCATCTCCTTCCCTTATGCTAAAATGGATATTTAATTAGTCTCTACCATGTTGCTATTATAGGAACTTGCCTTTGCAGTCTATGACAAAATAAAACAATTGTGGTGTTTTTTGTTAATTTGTTATTTTAACTTAGTTTTGGACATTCTGTGTTCTATGTGTTTGTGGTCTTCAGTCTTGCTATACAATCTCAAACTTGCATTTATTCTTTATAGCATAGCAGTTTGCGCAGATGAGGAAAAGAGTTAAGTGAACATTGATTTTGGATCTTTAATTTTTTGTTGAAACTGATTTGCAATGTTCTTCAAAGATCTGGGTTTAGTTTCCTTATCTCTGAAACACTTGACAGAACTTACCTAAATTAGTTTAGAGGGTTTTTTGCTTTGCATGATTTGACTAGCAGAACTGGTGTGCTTAGAAATAAGACTAGTGAATGTTCAAGATGCTTGGGAAATGGATTATGATTCTGAAATTCGTGTGTGGGATAGTGGAGTGATGAAGACCCTTCCCTTCGGAGCAAGATGCCAGTCCTTTTTGGCTTAGCATCCTCTAAAAAAAGATGTACATAAGAACAAAGCCAAGCACCCCAAACCAGAAATTGAATAAAGTCTTATATCTGATGAGTAAATGCAAGTAGAATAAGTATTTATGCCTGTGCTGTAATTCAGGAGGTGCTTGTGTAAGAATCTTAGTGCCAGTCTAAGAATACGCATTGGCTTACTTGAAATGCTTATATTAAATTGCTTTACTAGCCAACAGTCATCTTAAGATAACTCTTTTTGAAGTAAATGACAATTACTAGGCTGTTACTGCTTTTGATTTTGTAATTTAACTGCTCTGTGTCCAGGTATATTGTGTCTTTTGCTGCATAGCTGGTTTTAAAATTACATACTGAATGAAGTACAGAGGTGTCTAGGCTGCTTAAGAACCGATAAGGAAAAATAGCCATGTATATCTAATAAGATGATTGCTCATACAGTAAGAGATATCTTTGGCTTTTACCAAAAACTTTGCAAATATGTTTGGGATTAAGTTAGCAGAGGTTTGCTGTACATTTGTGATTTCATGATGAACTGGAAGAACGTTCCACATACAAACCTGTACATCTGTGAATCAGACTTGTGAACACTGAGACTAAAACAAATGTAGAATTCATGATACATGCCAGTATAGGGAATTCGTATTTCATTGTTCTTCTGAAGCAAAACTGTTAAAACTTTTTCAAGTGTTATGACAAAATCGACAAAATCTTGTGATTGACTGTGAATGTATTCATGAAATGCAAAATGATATGTTTCAAAATGAAGAGAAAACTTTTAACTGTTCATGAAACACAAATACAGTAACTGAATATCCCCTCTATTGAGTAATTTGTGCTCCTTTTGGATTTTTCTGCTGTGGATTAAGAAATTAACAGCTTTTTGAAAGCCTGATTTACTAGGAACCAGTTTATGTAATCACTGTTGCATTCTGATAGTCAGCAGTTGCTGATGTAAGTAACTTTTTGAATCTGAAGACAGCTCAAATCTGAGATATTTCAGAATTGTAAAGTTCCTGCAGGTTTTCAGAAGAGCATTCATTTGGTACTGGGGATGCTTCAGATGTTTACGTAGTAACTGCCGTACCATTGCAAATTAATGCCTGGCATATTAAGGACAAAAAAAAAAGCTTTTGAATTATCTTAATATGCCTAACTATTCAGTCTCTGCTGCTGCTTCTGCCTATTCAGTTGAGCTGTCCAGGCTACAGGCAAGGTCTTCCAAGCAAAGCTAGGCAGGTAGCTGTGAGCAGAAGTAACTGCAGTTATCACTGAGTGAGCTAATAGTGCTAGTAATCTTGAAGTCTGCAATATTCTACCCATGCAAATATTATGTTAGAAAAAATAGAACATGAAAGAGAAAGAAGGAATGTTTGTTTCAAATTATTATGAGTGTCTGGGTTAGTCTATTGTATTTACAGTAGAAAGAAATGTAGTTTGGCTAATGGAGAGTTTACATAACTCCTTTAACTGCTTTCACAGTTTTGTGCAGGTAAATTTTTCCTTAGTTATATCTGATCATAGATCTGTCCTTACATTGAGAAGAATAAGACACGGTCCTACCTAATCTCGCTATTAAGCATTACTCAATTTTAAGGAAATCTGTCGTTGATTTGATAGGCACAGATTTGTTGATTGCTATGTACCCTTAAGAACTTACAGTATTCAATAAACTGTGTAAAGATTCTTCAGAGCTGATGTTGAAAACTAAGTAAACTTTTTAATGGCTCTCTACGTTGCATACACATGCATAGTATTTTTAGGAGCTTCTGGATTTCAGGTGTGGATTAAACAAACTTTAACATACTGTTCTGTGTGTGGACACACATACAATGCACTGTGATAAAATGGTAAAGGTTTGATTTTATGCATCTTGCAATCATGTTGCCTAGAAGGGTGTTATCCTCAGGTTAATTTAGTATACAGTATTGGGGTGCCTTGTAAAACATTCACTAACTAGTCTAAAGATTCTACCGTAGTGTCCACAACAGAATTAAAAACATTTATTGTCTAAAGATAGGTAGTAACTGTTTTCTTTCTTCATTTTCATTTAAGCAATGACCTGGGTTAGTGTTAAGGGTGCCGGGGAAATACTTCTGCAGTGAACCAATAAGAAATTAATCTTCAAAGGATGTCAGGTTTATTCCCTTTAAAATTTTTTTAAAATGAAAGATCACCTGAATATTTTGGGGGCTTTTTGAGACATGAAGTCTTGAAGGATGGAGGGGGTTGAGGAACTTAAAGAAGAAGAAGAAAAAAAAAAAAGCATGAAAAGAAGCAAAAACCTCTTCAACTATATCAAATGCCCCTCTTGCAGATAATTTGAGAGGAAATGATTGTCTTGTATGTTTTCAGTGTAAACCCTCCTGATTTTTGCAGCCCACTTGAGTAATTTTCAAAAAGACCATTTAATTGATATTTGTCATGTTTTAAGAATTGCAATGAAGAGGTAATTCACTGCCCTAAATTGTATTTTGCAGGACAAATGGATGTCCTCAAAATGAAAATTGATCATTTCCTATGAAGACAAGTCTTTTTTTGTTTTGTTGTTGTGGTTTTGTTTTTTATTTTTTTTTTTTTTTTTTTTGTAAATAGGGGTGTTAGAATTGAGTTAAACTCCATATTACTATTTGTGTAGTTTTCCCTTGTAGTTTCAGAGAGATGGACTAATTTAATATAGAGGTATATTAAAATAATAAGTTAATTTAAATGTTATTGAAATAGGCTAAATATATTATAATAATTAATTTGAAATACTGGACAGAATTACAGTTCAGCAGTTCTCATTGTGTCTGGAAGTGGCTTTGTTTCAGTGGTGGGTGAAACAACTGTGCTTAAGCTGCTCTCATTTCAAAGATTGCCATGTAAATATACTGCTTTGCTTAGATTTCAAGTTGTTGCACTTATCTGAAAAGAGGAAGTCGGCCAAATCTGAATAGGTTTGGTTATGCTTGCTTAAGTTCTTCTAAAGGTTTTCCCTGTCAAACTGACATTTTTAATATCATCTTTAAAAATCACAAAATAGAGGAAAAAAAATCTCTTACTGTCTCTTTCTTTTTAGAGAGGATCTGACGAACTTCTTTCAGGCAGTGTACTCAATAGCCCGAACTCTAACATGAGCAGCATGGTAGTTACTGGTAAGTGATGCCCTTTCAAAGGAGAAATATATCATTTATACTTGGATTCATTTCCTGTTTACAAGGGGAGAACACTGAAACAAGAATCCGCTGTGCTATAGAGGGATAAACTGTTGGCATGCATTAGACTGTAGTGACCTTGTATATACTCACAAACCTTGGGTAACTGAGAAGAATAATCCCTTAAATCAAGAGGCAACTTTCAGATGTCTTTACACTAAATTGTTGGTGGGAGATGGGATGAAAAATTACACGTCTTGTACAGCTGCCTTCAAAGTAAGGAATCACAACTACAAAGCAAAGGTAAACAGCTTAACTCCTGTATGGCATCAGCTTTTTCGCACATAGACATCTGTAAGTCTGGGCATTACAGAGAAGAACACTGTGCCAGTTTCATACTATAGTATGGATTCAGGAAAACAGAATTTTGCTCTATTCCAGCTTAGACTGTTAAAGCAGGAAACTTCACTTTGCTACTTGAGTCTGAGATCACAGCGGCAGAGTATCAGAATGTCAGTGCAAAGTGAAGGTGGTTGTTCTTCAGTCAAATTTCTGGTGATGCTAGATGGAAAGGCTTTTCATGCATTGGCACATGCTAAAATACCTTCTATTGCAGTTAATGATTCTGTATGTTGAACGTGCATTGAGTTCCTTGGAGGGCTCACTTCAGAGGTCTTGATTTTTCTCTCTCCTTTCCCCACCCTTCCCTTACCCACCCCTATGCATGTTTGTTTTTTCTTTTCTTGCCCCAGAGATGTGGAGGAATTGGTTCATGGCATCAGAGTGTTTCTGGGCTTTCCAAATAGTTGCCTGATTCACTGTTTTAATGTGCCTGATCAATTTCTCTGTATTTATGTCCTGAGCAGTATAATCACTAATATTAGTAGCAGACTCTTTCCTTTTAATCCAGCAGTAAAAGACTGGGATTCAGAGTGCAGTTTCATGTTACATTTTGGGTGCTGTGGTGGCAGCTGTTGCCGAGTGGGTAGTTCTGTGCTTTCTCCTCCTACATCCTTAGTACAAGCAGAAGAAAAACCCCAACTCCAAGTGTTTCTGATTCATTCCTCTATGTTGGAATGCTCATATACTTGCAGAATGAGCTAATCCAGCATTAAACTGTACTGCCAAAAAGTGTAGTTTTCCCTTGGAGCAATTTACTAATCAGTCATATAGCTGCACGATTGGTAGATGCAGTGCAGTATGGGGTGGAGGAGTGGTGGCAGAAGGGAAGAGAACCATTTCCTTTGGAAGTTCTATAATCAAAGGTGAAGAGATGATACTTATTTGGAATAGATCAAAAATGCAGTGTAGTGCATTCATATACGTTTTAGAACCCTGGAACATTTGTTTATCTCCCCTGCTTTTCTTATTTCCTTCTGGTTCTAAAAGAGGTCCCTCTTGTTTTCATTTTTTGATGTCCTTTGCAGTCCTGGCTGTTACTGCTTCAGCAGTTTGCTTTACTTAAATGAGAAACTGGAATTAAAAGTGGTTTGAGTTGTGTGTATGAGAGTTTGGATTTGGGCAGTGGGAGGAGAAGCAACAACACTGTTACCAGGACAAAGTCCTGGAAAAACTTTTAGTTCAGGAAGGCTAAATGCAAGTTAATTTATCCAAAGGTGAAAAAGAAAAGGGGCAAAAAATCAAAATAAGAATTATAATTTTGACTTTTTTTTTTAGAATAAAAAATATAGGAGCTTGTCTGAGACATCTCAAACTTTAAATAGAAATTCTTTTATTCTCTAAAAATTCTTAAAATGGAAAACAGTGCTTTGATTCCATTATGTGGATTTGGGAGTCTGATGTATTTAGCAAATACAGATTCTCCTTCCCACCTTGTTTGTTTACCTGCTTAAGCTGATTTTGAGTTTGGGTTTTGTGGTGGGTTTCTTTGTTTGTCTGTTTCGGTGTTTTTTTTTTTGAAACCAAATAATAAGCATTTGTGAGAGACTTTTTCAAATTAATATATTTATATTTTGTACAAGTAAGACCTCTTGATATGTCTCTAGGCATCCAGAACCATAAAGGACTTCTCAGAAACAACAATCTTATTAACAAGCAAGAGTGGTCTGAGTAGTGGCTTGGTTCCTGTAGTGTCAGTTGCCTGTTGTAAACGTTTTCATATTAATTGCGTAATATATATTAAAGTTCAGTGGAAAAATAATCCCAAACAAACAAAAATGCTCAATCTGAAATCAGTATTAACAATTCAAGCCATTCTCTATAGAGGGCAGTGGAAAGGGAGCTAATTGGTTTGTGGTTTTTTGTTTGTTTTTAAGCAGTTTCTTGGGACTGTGTTCAAATTTCTATTCTGCCTGCCTGCCTTTGTTAACTAGCATAGAAGAAAACCCTGTAGAGTAGGCTAAATTCACAGTTGAGTATTATTTCTGAATACATCCTTCCATAGTTGTTTATTATGAGCCTTGAAGTACTTTTTCCAGACATGCACAGTTTTCAAGTTCAGATTTTAGACTCAGAAGTAATTAGATCTGAAATGTTAATTTTTCTGTACCCATCTCCTGAAGCCAGATGAGTTCAAGTATTCTTTATATCCAAGTTAAGGGCCTTCTTTTGCTTCAGTTCTGTTGTTACTTTTCTGTTTAGAAGAATTTAAAACTTTTGTGAACATTGGCTTTTTGATGTAGCCAAAGCATGGTGGTGATGAATCTTCCTCAGATTTTCTAGGGTTTAAGAGAATCTGTAGTCACTGATCAATTTCTGTTCTGTAACTCTTAAAACTAATACTTGTTCTTGCCCTTTCATTCTTGAAGTTTGGAAGTGTCATGATTTTATGAGACCTGGTCATTGTACGTAGAGTCCTATTCTGGTTTTGACCATGATATTTTCAACATCTGATCACATAGTATTTTTCCAAACAGATACCTAGATGAACAGAAGAAAGAGACAGTTTCTCTTTTGTAATCCTGAGCCTTACTGGTAAAAGTATACACAATCAGAAAAACTGTTGTCACTAGCAGTGCCCTAGCAGGCCTAAACTTAGAGCAAAAACTTTTGAATCACAGCCTTGTTTCTTTTTAGATCTCTGCTATTGAAATATAAACCTAAAACAAATAGCCTAAGTTGTCAAAAAAATTACCTTTTCCTGTAAGTGGCTGTTTTTGGTAGAACTGGGGGCTGTGTCTCTAGGGGTGAGACTGGAGATGAGGTTTTTAAAAATTATCATCCTACCCTTTTATGGTGATAACAGTTGCATTAGGTCTTTTTGATATTCATCTGCCATTCAGTTTGAATACTATAGTACTTTAATGCTTTTATGAATACTTTAATTCTTTTAGTCAGAGAAGGGCATGACATATGAATGCTTTCTCTGCCCTCCCTTCTTTTCATTGGAAGAAACTTGCAGAATTGTTGGACAGATGTTTGGTTTGCATTCTTATTGATTATTTGAACCACTGGTAATTTGATAAACAGTACAGAATTAAGGAAGGTGCTAGCATGTTGGACTGTTGTCCAAAGGACATTGCTCAAAATACAAGCCCTAATACTTGAGCATTTTCTAAACAGCTTTGTCATCAGAATCCATCTTCAAGACTGTATAGATGAAAGGAAATTGATGGTATATTAACATTCACTATGAATCAAGTTAATGTCTTAAGTACTTTGTGTGTCTTGTGTAAAAGAACAGCCTTAAAAGAAAGTTAGACTTGGATAATTGAGGATGACTTCCTTGTGAGTTTTTCTGCCACTTAATTCTGAACCCTTGTATCTTCTGTTTTGGACATAATTTAATTACTGTCCTGATTGTTGTGGAATTTCAGTTAAGTATTTATATTAGTACAAGATGATGGTTGTGGTTTGTTTTTTTTTTTTTTTGTTTGTTTTTTTTCCCCCCCCCCCGCCCCCCCCCAATTAGTTTATGAGCAGTACGGTGGAACATCACTCTGTAAACAGAGGGAAGAATCCTATCTACTAGATGAGAACTTGTTGCAAGGGAGGTCAGCTTGTAAGGTTCCAGGTCATCAGATATCTAAGCTTTTCTAAGTTCTGGTTTTGATGTCAGATGTTTAAATTTCTGAGGTTTTTAGCACCAGTTGACATAGATATGTTGAAGTTGTATTGTCAGAACCTCAGGTCTTCTACTACTGTTTGAACTACTATTAGTGTTTTCCTTCAGATTTTCTGAAAATACTGTCAAAGTCTATACTTACTTTCTGTTATAATCTTGCTTGGTTCTGATCTCTTTTGAGAGCATATCTCTCTCAAAGATCTGTGAATTATATTTTTGTATTGTTGCACAGCAGACAGTGACTAGAAAGGCAGTTTAGGTAAACTAAAACATGGTTTGGTAACAGGATTCTGAGAAACCAGAGCTGAAGCCAGGATGTTCTAAAAATATTTTTGACTCTGGATGTTTTTAAAGACATTTGTTATGCATATTGTAAATTACTGTACCTAAATAATTTCTTTCACCGTTCAGTGAATACATAGCTGCATTTGCTTATTCTGCTACTTTTAAATCTGAGAAAAAAAGTCCCTTCTCTTTAAGGATTAGAAAAGGCATTTCTTCTGCAATGGTTTAGTTTTATGCCAAACTTGCGAGGAGGCTTTTTTCTTTTCAGGTGGAGATCTGCTTAATAGCAGCTTTAGGAACAGTTATATGTATGAAGATGCTCATGCCATGAATTGTGTTGATGAAATCCACTGGAAATAGTTAAAATTTTTAAGGGGTGTAGATAAAAGGTGAAAGATATTGATGAAAGTTTTATGCAGATTGGCTTGTCAAAGACAAGGGACTAAAGTAGAGGAATTGACAGATTTTAAAAATTTTTTTACTACAGCTGACATCTATTTCATTGTTCACATTTGTGTTTTTAAGTTCAATCAGTAAAAATATTTGAGAAATAATTTTGCAACTGAGCTCACTAAACTCATGGAGCTTTAAATGATACTATTAATCTTGATCTTGTTTTTACTTCATTAGCAGGGAATGTTAGCAGTGACTTCAGTAGGTAATTCATTGTATTAACGGAATACTTAGCACT